GGCTTAAAAATGTTGAATCAGAGCCCTTAAAATATTCCAGATGCATGAGCAGGGGAGTGTTTTTTTACAAAGATCCTAAGATGAACTTATCTCTAAGTTGGACTTAACAATTATGGACAGCCGTTAGCATCCTTGAAAATATTTAGTAAAAGTTATTTTAAAAGGCATAAAATGTTGATTCAAATCATTCATATTTTCTATTATTATAGGAGATTTCATGTTCTTGATGTGGAATTTATGAAAAGTCTAAAATACTTGAGTTTTTGCTTTTGAACATATTTCATTATAAGACTACAAATGGCTCTCCATAATATTTAAGTCCAACTTAAGAGTTAAGTTCGAATTAGAATCTTTGTGAAACACCCCCCAGAAGGGAAAATATTTCTGCACATACTGTGACCATGTTTGGTTGCGTGACCAATGCATTGGACTCCAGGAAATTTAAAATGGAAAATAAATGTTGAAAACCTTAAATTGGCAACATTTGGGAGTTAAACATCAATGTTCTCGTTCAAAATTTGATAACTCGTGTATATTGCTTCTAGAGACATTACATGTTAGTACTAGAGCAATACAAAAATTATTGTTACCAATTTTAAGAATATTTGAAGAATAACGTATGAACAATTTGGCCCTTATGAAATATCCGTCTTGAAACTAGGATTAATGTAACTATATATCAGCAGAAAAATATATTTGCAAATACCAACAATATCCGCTCTGCATTGGAAATAAAATTTTCGGGGGTATACCGTGCAAATATTTTAAAGATGTAACATACAAAACTTTAACTACAATCGGGGAGGTGTGACCAATACAGTTTATCCATCATGAGAAGCATCGTTGATACCTCCCCTCATAACATATCTGATACAAATTAATGCTCTAGAAATGACATCAGGTAATAGGCTGTGATAATCCTATTTGATCTTTCTTGGAGACATTATGTCTACCAAAGTAGACTCAAAGGCCCATGGTCAGCGCTTTTTATTAGAAAATAACATCCCACATACATGGCCCATGTGAATGTAGGACCGTGTCCTGAATTGAAATTATTGATTCGTAAACGACTGTAGATAATCATAATAAGCTCCGTATAGTGAAATATAAAAATGCTTTAAATACATTTGGGGAAAAAAAATAGTTCTCAAAAGCACGTACATGTAAAGACTGAATGAATATAAATATTAATGACACATAGAGTTATCCATATCTGGATAAATGATGAATCATAGAATGTGGTTGTTCGAAAATGAATAATCAAATATCAAAAATAATCATCAAACTATTATTCAGTAAATAAAAATTATACTCACATTCAAGCGTCTGCAGCTTCGTCCACCAATGACGATTTGTGTTGCAAACATAATGTTGAACAAAACATGTAGTGTACATTACAAAGAAAGCAACAAACAGGAAATGCAAGTTTCCTCCAGGAACCAGGAATAAGGAAGTGAATTTCATATTTTTTTCCACACGAATTTATAAAAGCTGCAAACGAACTTTGTAAAATAAAACTGAAACATGAAACTCTAGACAAGGTTTCAGTTCAACTGTACATTTGAATAACTATTACTATATAAGCGTTGAAGCTTAATTACCCTGCTTTAAAGTGTATATGCAAAGAGATATCACGCATAGCCATGCCCAGCAACACGACACTCATGCGATACCTCAAAGAAGAACGTTTGTATAAAACATTTAAGGATCATCTTGTTTACTTGTCAAGCTGTGTGATGCGGGTTATCTAACTTCTCATGAGGTTGGGTACAAAGTCCAGAGTATTTCACAACATCCGTGTTGAATATATGACTAGACGAACCAATCGGGGGGGGGGGGGGGGGGGTGTTTCTCAAAGATCATTAAAATTCATGGAAAGCCCTTAGCATCTATGAAAATATTTTGTAAAAGTTATTTTAAAAGGTATGAAATGTTGATTCAAATCATTCATTTTTTCTATTACAAGGAGTTTCATGTTCTTGATGTGGAACTCAGAGAAAAGTCTAAAATACTTGAAATTTTCGCTTTTGAATATGTTTTGTTTAAAAGGCTACAAATGGCTCTCCATAATTTTGAAGTCACACTTAGTGTTAAGTTCGACTTAGGATCTTTGTGAAATACCCCCCCCCAGGAATATTTATTCCATAGCCTGTTACATAACGGGGTATTATTTACGTCCTCGTTTGCATACGATAACAGGGGTCAAAGTCCAACCCGGAGTATTCACTTTGCGAGGATGTTTTTTGTTTGTTTTACCGAATCAAACAGGACAATACGATTATTTAGCAGATTAGTAATGCTTATAAAAATAGTAACAAGAATGTAACAGAACCACAACAATAGAATCATTCGTAATAATAATAATAACAACAAAAAGCAATAATATATATTTTTTGTCTCCCCCTCCCCTATTTTCTTTTCCCACTACATTTTCTTCTTTTTCCTCTGGTCCTCATGAAGGACCAGCTACACTGCAATTGCAGCTGAAAATGAGCTATCCAGCTGTCTGCTTTCTCTGTCTTTTCGTTTATTTCGTTGAACATTTTTTTCGTTCTCAATGTTTTTTTTATTTTTTTTTAATTTAATGCAATGTGTTTGTTCTTGCTCCTATCTCTGTTTTAGCGTTTGGTGGTGTGTTTTTTTCTCAGCTAAAGTGGCGCGCGATCACTGGACTCTCCATTGCGCTCGACACGGGAACAGTCCAGACAGCTGACTTCACATCAAGGCACATGAGGACACACCCCTCTTCTTCTTCTTCTTCTTTTTCTTCTTCTTCTCCTTCTTCTCCTTCTTCTTCTTCTTCTTCTTCTTCTTCTCCTACTTCTTCTTCTTTTTCTTCTTCTTTTTCTTCTTCTTCTCCTTCTTCTCCTTCTTCTTCTTCTTCTTCTTTTATTGCTCGTCAGACAATTTCGGAGTTCCGAGGCGCCCCCAGCACCGCGCACACACATAGAATACCATATGCATAAAAGACATGACAATCACGGATCCGCCATTTATCCCCAGATATAGGCCATGGTAAATTTGTGTGGAAGATATGAAGCATTATAATAAACCCCATGTTTACACACAGGGTGGCATTATATACGGCCTAGTCATAATGATAGCGAAATAAATGTAAATAATCTTCCAAAATCATAAACAAGCTTTGACCTTGCGTACCTTTGTCGATATTATACATGTAAGTCCAGATGATTGTGATTTGCGGCGATGACTTTATGGTAAGAATAAATAGGATGTAGGAACACAAACTTCCTGTAGTCCTTTATAATACCGCTTGGAGGTAAACATTTCTTAACGGAATATAACACAAACTATGCTTTCATATGATATTCTATGACGTCATTAACTCATTTGGCCCCTGATAAAATCCAATTGCTATCTCATAGCAGTTTTTCTTTCAGATGTTAGCCATATACACTTGGCATGCTTGGTGCAAGGACATGTCGACAGGGAGAGGTTCGCCTTCTATGATACCTCTGTCACACTAACGAGACCGACTCCAGACCGACTACAGACCAAACAAACAATCACATTACCCCCCGAATGGCCAAGGGTCAGTCGGTCTGGGGTCGGTCTTGAGTCGGTTTTTCGGTGTGACTGCATGAGGTCCAACCTTCCTTTTTGTAGTTACATTTCCCCGTAATTTCTGCAAACAAACTGTGTATCGTTGAAAAGCTATACAAACACATGAGAGAACATTACACCACATTCACGGTTAAGGCCGCCATTTTTATAAGGTTTATGTTTAGGATTAAGGATAATGTTTGGTTCAGGGCCCTGTTCCATAAAACTTGATATCAATAACAAGTTACAAGCTACTGTTATAAGCTACTGAAATCATGGCCGCATCTGATTGGCTGAGAGCAAATTTGTCATAGAAATTTAGCAGTTGTTATAGATACAAGTTTTATGGAACGGGCCCCGGGAAATCGATGAGTGTAGGATAAAGACCGCTGAGCAATTGTAGCAGGAGCATGTGTCGTACAACCTCATGCTGGCAACGTGTAGAGAATTTTCTTCCCCCCCCCCCCCCCCATGTAAACTCAACTTAAGTGAGAGCAGTTTTGGTGTAATCCAAAGTCAAAATCTTTAAACTCTAAGTTCTGGTGCCAAAAAGAAAATATCTGGAAAGAATTTGAAAAGGTTGATTATGTCGTACATTAGAATTTGTATACATTGTTAGCTTTCGAAATCACTAAAGTTGATACGAAATTGTGTTTACTTTGCAATGCGCATAGAACAGTGTATGGGGACTTTTTCGGGGGACATAACTGAATGATATTTTCCCCAAAATTAATCTAAAAGAGTGAAAAGCCTCGCAAATTATTTGTCATCGTTACCAGAACTCAATGTTCCCTTCAATATTTCAATACACCCCCTTCCCGTCAGATCAGTTCCTTTGGTGGGTCGGCTTGGGGATGGGACGAGACGAGGCAGCAGTTCCATGATTGGCGGTTACGTCAGCAAACTTTGAGCCAATGAGGTCACGCTAAGCTCAAAATGGGGGTGTGGTCGAGATAAGCACGCACGTGGATAGGAATGGCGAAACGGTGAACCTTGAACCGTTTGAACTGAAGTAGTTGGGAATGGCACTAATCATTCGCATAGGGGCAGGTAGGCATGTGAAGACTGAATTATGATCACTGAACCGAAAACACTTTTTCCAAATTATGGGCATACTGGTTCCGGTGAGTAGAATGCACTAAAGGGACCATGGGGTTGAATTCATTACTGGTTTTATCGGATTCCTCTTCAAAGTAGTTATTTAACCGCCCTTACTCAAATTAATTGCTTAATTTGACCCCCCCCCCCCCAAAAAAAAAAAAAAAAAAATCAACAACAACAATAAAATGTTATTATTTTTTCATTGATTAATTATTAATTGTTTTAATTTTTTAAAACTCAGATACATCTACAGAGCTTATGACGCAGTCAAAGGCGAAGAAACCTATCCTTCATATCAATAATAAAACCTTCGTTTATTCACATTATGATCATGTTTCCAAACTGCCCATCAATTAATAGACAAATAGCTAAACTGACATCTTTGAAATATTTTCTTCGACATTTCGTCATTAAATAGTAGTGATAGACGTATTTTTAAAATTTTTTGTTCGATTTCTTGGCGTAGTGGTATTTCTTGTAATCATGGTAATCGTTCATCTGTGTGGTTTTTGTTTTGTTGAAGAACGCGCGATGTTGTCTGATGTGGATAATTTTTCAAAGTTCCAGGTACTTTATTCAGTAATGTTGGCCTAATTGGCTGCTGTCACATTGTATTTCCGCGGAGGGTGAAACTACATCATATCCGAACTCACGTTCCGTCTTCTGCATTATCAAAAAGTAAAAAGAAAGAATAAAATAAACAAGCGTTCCATATACAAGTAGCATATAGTGTTGGGCAGGTCTATAAACATGGGGGGGGGGGGGTTATTCATCGATTTTCCACATTCCAGTTAAAAAATATGCAAAATACAAAATAATGTACATTTCATAAAATACAAAGGAATACAAACATTTGTACGAATAGAAACAAACCTACACCAAAAATAGAAGTAAGTGCATACAGGGGAAAATAACTACTTAATATTGTTAATCACTCTGCAGATGCGGAAACAAAAAAGTAAAAGTTGCATGTCAGAATTTTAAACTATGCATCCCCCTAAAAAAGGCAATATTATTGATACAAATTATCTTATATTGACAATGTTGAAAGGAGAGCAACGGGTTACCTGAAGGAGGTAAAAGTTCCTTCAACAAAAAGGCTACGTCAGGAAAATGCAATCTTTATACAGTAATGCTCTAATCATAATCGCAACTTAATAAATGAATAATTAAAAAATATCAACTCAATGTTAATTTTTAGAAATCTATTGGTTTGCCTGTAGAAATAACGTTTTAATTACTAATTCTAATTCTAAAGTTGAACTTGTACATTCTAAAGGTGGTGGAGAAGACTATTGAAATTCAGTAGAATTCGGTAGAATCTGCGAGAGCCTATGTGAACGTGTGTTTGTATTAAAACTCATTATTGTCTTAGAAAAAATTGTCAACATACCTGTAAATATGTATCTTGACGGACAGGATAACGATGGCGATGGTGACGATCATAAACAACATTGCGAGAGTTATCATCAGTCCTTTAGAATAAAACAAGAAGCGACCAGGAGGGTAAAAAGATTGTGGGTTTTCATTTTTGTTTTTTGCTTCCATTTATCTTGGATTAAACAATCGTAATTCAAACTAAGCTACGTCAACAAAATACTTGTATAATGTCAAATTAAAGGCATCGTTTAACAATGTTAAATCTGAAATGGACGGCCCTACGTGCTATCAGTTGTTGTTGTGTCTGTGTCTGTGATATGGTGTAATATAAAAGCCCTGAAAAAAAAAATCGCGCTTCAAAATGATCAAGAAGTGCCTCAAATAGTAAATATCTTTGAGTGACCGGTTTTACCACACTCGTTTTCCCCAATAGACTGTAGTGTTATGAAAACTGTTTGGCAAACACAAATTTTGGTTTCGATATTCAATCATGAATATCTTGATAATCAGACAGACGATCGGCTTGTAAACGTCATGGAGTTCCTGACTGGCACAAAGGTTTATAATTATCACTGCAGCATGAGCTAAATCCAGGGTTTTGTTTCAGAATCTGAGACAAAGTTACCGGATCACTTTAAATATAGATGATCAAAGTATTTATGTATCCTAGAGCAAGGGTAAAGAAGATTGATCCTTTACAACACTCTCTTATACAATCATATCATCAAAACTACGACGGGCTAATGTTGGCTCAAGAATGACAAATTAATATAGGACCGGGATCAGTCTATTTAGCTAAAGTTGGCTTGCTGCCTGAGACCGCGCCGTGCATAGTCCATTTTTTGAACAAGGTAAAGCCATCTTTATTTTTATGCTAAATATATTACTCATTGCGGATGTAGTATCGAAAATAATATCGCTAGTAATATTCGTTTGTCCATACATTGCGAGACAAGTGAATATCACTAGCAATATTATTTTCGAAACTATATTTTTGTTAGTCGACTTAGACCGTGCATGTCATGCTGGGATAATGTACATTTTTCTTGCTTTATACCTCTCTCGTACACTTTGGTACGGAATCTTGTATATTAATGGGCGAGAATACAACAAATCTCGAAGGATAACTCAAGTTTTTTCTTAGGGTAAGGTTTCCTTTAAAGAGGATCGCGACCACTGTTTTAACTTACCGAGTGTTTTATCGGCTGAAAGGTGCCATGTCTGCTCCTGCACTCTGTCATTAGCAATGAAGTCAATCGGTGACGGTGATGGCGAACTGATGACGACAGCTTAAGGACGAAGAAGAAAATAATATTTTCATACAAAACTGTTTTTATATTCCGGTAGGATGAAATTCCTTGAATGCTTCAGCGCCTCGGCTATAACCGGGATAATATTTTAATTGCAGGGCTCTTAGGGAGAACAGTATTAATACTGGAGAGGCTACCCTGGGTAAACAAGACATTATTATTATTGTAATTATTATTATTATTATTGTTATTATTATTATTATTATTATTATTATTATTATTATTATTATTATTATTATTATTATTATTATTATTATCATTATATAATAAAAATATGAGCCTGTTTTGGCAGTGATTTGGGATTTCGGCATGAGACGAATTGGATAAGAACTTTCAATGTTTACAGCTATAGCTATTACAAACTTCAACATACCATGCACTCCACATTAGGAAAATCAACACTCCTTGGCCAAAAGTTAATGGGTAAACCTTCGGTGATCTTTTACAATTTGCATTTGAATATGCGGGCCAATCCCAGGGACATCTTGAGACTTCATGTTATTATAATACTCCCGGGCAAGGGTTTGCTTCGACATATCTTCCGATGGTTGCGCCGGGCTTTAGTTTTGCCAAGTACGGGATTAGGATAATGGTTGCAATTGGGTTTTGGGTTATGGACATGGTTAGGCTTGGCTTTAGGGTATAGTGTTTATTCGAGATTTGAGCTTAAGAATTAGGTAGTTATGGTAGTGCAGGATGTGAACCGCGAAAGAACTTGAGCATGTGGTGTTTCACAACCTGGCGAGCCACACTTATACGGGTGGATCTGATGATGATGATGATTGTTTTACCTGGCTGCTAAGAAAGCATGTAAATGCTTGTAAGTAAACAACTATTGGACCGACGGCTTTAATGTCTTACCAAAGGACACGATCGCATTGACTTGGCTTCGAACCTGGGACCTCCCAGTTACGAGACCACTGCTCTACCACTGAGCTATCGCGCCTCTTTAACCTCTAACCCCTTACCTGTTGCAGTCGTAAAGTCAGGTTCCAGACATGGGCCGAAACACTTCACGCCAACATCTTCAGCATGGGTACAGTCATGTAATCCCAGCTTATTCCTCGGACAATGCCCAATGTTGACCTCAGAACCATCGCATTCCAAATCGTCGAAAACAATGTCTCCAGCGCCCTCCCCGAACGCTGAACAGCACGCGGAACTCTCTGCTCTTTCATATCCAAGCATCCTGCACACAACGTTGGCATCGTTTAAATCCCAGTTGTCGTCACAAATTGTTACCCACGTGTTATTGAAGAGAACTTCAACTCGACCCTCCCTAGGTGTGTCGCCTCCAACAAGGCGGACTTCGAGATCAACTACAGGTGTAGCAAATCGAAAACAAATGCATTATGAAAACGAATATAGAGCAGAGTGAGTGAGAGAGAGAGAGAGAGAAATAAAGAACGCCTCTAATTTACGTAATTCAAACTGCCTTGATGCCCTGTTGCTTTTGGCCTAGTCCTGCATCAGGCCTATTTAATTTTGATCTCCACCACACCAACGCTACCTCCCCCTACTTACTTTGTTACCAGCCGATGATGGCGTGATCATTAAATTAGGACGCCAGGCTGGGCTCGTGACCATAATTATGAGTTTGTTGATAACGCCATCTTCGACGGCTTGAATCAAGTACAGTGTGTAGGGAATTATAAAGGACCGGGCAGATTCTGGACTACTGTTGGCCCTAATTAATTTGTTAGACATATGGGGACAGATGAACTGTGTTTGCATGAAATTGAATGCCTTGAGGTTGTTCGACACGGTGAACTAACCATGAACAAAAATCAGTTGAAGAATAAGTTCAGGAGGCTTACGATTCTTTTGACAAGTCACCCCAAAGTCCTGGAAGTGATTGCACCCCCTTCCACTTTCATGCCATGTTTGACATGACAATAAATGTGACTCCTTGCCACTGCAAACTGGCAAACTGATGAAAACTCCCCCAATGCCGGGTCCGTAGTATCCGCAGCAATGGCCGCCCAGTGCATCCGGGTAGCCTAACATGCGACAGATCACACGTGCGTTGTTCATGACGTTCTCGGGTGTGTGCCTGTAATCATTGGAAGGAGCGCACACGGTTCCCCAGGAGCCGTAGTAAAACCTCTCCACCCTTCCTTCACTAGGTTCCCGACCCCCGGAGAGCCGGAATGGTATTGCACCTTTGAAGAGAAAAGAAAGAAGGAATGAAAAACAGATCATGATTCAACTACTATGGCTATATTAATATGTGTTGGGAAAACTTTTTTAAAAATCCCAAAACGGAAGTAAAAGTATGTGCAAATAATCGTTTCCCATTTCGGTAACACTTTATTATATATTACACTGTACACGTCATTAACGTCATGTATTCAAGCATTGGACGGTAACATGGATATAAACATAGCATTTTAAGATGTCGGCAATTTACATGATGACACCATACACTTTATAGTGACTTGTCTGCACTGACGGTATTGCTTATTTTTTTAATAGGATAACATTTTGTCCTAAACATAATTATAATAAAGCAGTGCTGGAATACCCCGGAATTACAATGATACTACATGTTGACGGAAGCATGCTCATTGAAAGACAAAACAGCCAAGCAAAGCAGACTAACTTTTGTCCAGTTTACTCTGTTCGTGTTTACAATTGCTAACCTCATCACCATGTGTTACCGTAATTACAGCACTATATGTATGTGAATTTAGAATATTATTAAGAAGTTAATTTCTAATTGTTTATGTCTTCAGTTAATTCATTTCCTTCATTCAGTTTTTTTTTATTTGTCCAGAAGTGAGAGTCTGATATTGGTGCTCTACAGTTTACAATACCATTGGAGTGAATTTAGCCAGAATTTCTTTATTTTATTATTTGTATTCTTTAGAATAATTTTAATCAGGATTATCTCGATCAGATTTTAGAAAGATAAGCTATTATCTATATAGCAATTAAGAGGAACACATTACGTTTTCCGATACACCTGGCTGCAGCAAGGCCCATTCCAGGACAACGCACTTCCTCTAACTCGGACATGTTGCAATGTGCAAGGTTTCTTTCTGTTCCGTTACACTGAACCCATTCTAGCACCCCGGGTGCAGAATTTGCCCCACCGCGAAAGGCTGCTGAGGCGCCCTCATAGCCCAACATGCGACAGGTAACGTTGGCTTCGTTAATACCCCAGGAGTTGAAGCACACATTCTCCCACGAATCGTGATAGAAAACCTGCACATCTCCTTCATCTTCCTTGCGCGAGTTACTCAGGCGAATGGGCACTAAAATGCAAGGAGATAAATATTAACACAAGGAAATAATTATGATGATATTATATTGCTACCGTGCATTAAGTTAAATAATATCAGATATTTACAAAGGATCGAACCAATCACCAAACTTTGTTTGCGTCGTTTATTTGCTCCTCCAAGCTAGTATCCTATCTTCAAATTGTTGGCTCAAAAGGACTGCTTCTGACAAAACAGACGTTACAAGTCAGAATTCCGGATTTGCAATCAACTATAATTTGTGAGACGCACTCGCATAACATATCGTTGTTGCCTTCGCGGGGAATTGAACTCCGAGGTTACTTCCATTTGAGTCTACATAACCCTTTGGGTTCTCTGACTGTCACTCCTTTGTACGTCCTATATAATTTGGGGTGATCCCATGTCTCATAACGATAGATAAACTATTGGTTATATTGTGTGTTTTCTCCTTTAAAGATGTTAATAAAAGAAGAACAAATATCAGACATATCAAGAGTCAATAAACTAATTTTAGGGCTACTTAGAATTAGGATTGAATTAAAAAAACGCATACTGCTCTTCAATGCTATGATATCGAAATGTTTTTGGTAAACTTTTTCGTATGGAAGTACTGCAGACACAGATTAGAAATACACGTGTGTTAAAAATGACTATAATAATAATAATGATAATAATAATATTAAAAATATCAATAATAATAATAATTTTAATAATAATGAATACAATAATAATAATGATAATAATAATAGTATTAATAATTGAAAATAAAAGACAAGTTCTTATTAAGCACATTATACCTTTGTAAAAAGTCTAAAAGCTCTCAGGTAAAATTTAGAAAGAAATGAAGAAAAAAAATGAAGAAAATATCCAGGAAAAATTGTTTATGACTAATGAGTACGAATATCAATTGATCAACTTAAGAAATATGATTTAAGAGCAGTCTTGAACTGTTGAACTGTCATAACCTGCTTTACGATATGAGGGATACTATTATATAGCTAAGGGACAGCATGCTTAAAGAGAAGGTTGAGTTCTGGGAACTGAGGTGAAAAATAATTTGGGCGAATTATCATTCTTATTATGCAAGTGTGGACGAACATCAGATAAGACATGTTTCCTAAAAAGGACGGCTCTTCAAATGCCTTCATAGTTTAAATATGTCATGTAACATCGTAAAACTCCGGGGTAGGATTTTTTTCGTGTAGTCCCATATACATCTTTCTGTGTACAGTGTTTGTAACTTTACCAAGACTTGGCCAAATTTCTTATCATTTTGATGATTCCAGAACCTTGCAATACACACAAATGCTTATATGCTAGATGATCGACCTTTTCTGGTCGATTCCACACCGTTTCTTTCACAATCCAATCGCATGACCAGAACTCAACTTCATCTTTAAGACCTCGTTTGAACACGGGTACAGCATACAGATATTTCTGTAGTAAATTTGTTACCGGGTCATATTTTATGAGTGACTGTGACAAACAGGTTGGAGCCAAGCCATGAAAACATTAGAAAGCTAGCAGCAAGATCTTGAACTTAATACATGTTTTGATCGGTAACCAGTGTAAGACTCTTAAAACAGAAGATACGGATTCATAGGTTTTTGTGTTTGTTTCCTTTTTGTCACAGGCCTTGAAGTCGAGTTCTGGATGACCCGAAGGTAGGTATCTGGTACTCCATACAACAGTCATGCATTAGTCTAGGTGACCCATGACAAATGCATGCACTAATATTTCTGTGGTAGCTTTGTCATATAGCTGTTGCAATTATCATATAAATATACAATGTACTTACTTGAGATACAAGAAAGCGTTGCGATTCGACTAAGATCGCCTGTGCTATTTATCCCACCATTAGCAAAGTCACAGTCGTTGAAGTGTAGCTCTTCCCCTGTGCATTGGAAAAAGCCGTTGACAATCCCATCACGAGGTTGCACCACCACGCGCTCGTGATAGCTTTTTGCAGTATGATAGTCCAACATTCGACACAGGAGGATAGCCAGGTTGAAATCCATCGACTCGGCATAGATGGCCTTCCATACATGGTCGTGTAGGATCTCCACTTTACCTTCTTGCATCGTAGGGTCGTATCCTCCGTTCAATCGAACTTCAGCTGTGAAATGACAGAAAACATAAACCTTGTGATAGCTTTTCAAAATCTGTAACGGACTCAATGCTTTCAAGAAACATCAGGGTCCCGTTTCACAAAGCTTTTTTTCAATGACAAATGACAAAAATCAGTGACAAGTCTGCTGATAACCAGTCAGAAGCAAGGATTTCAGTAGCTTATAACACAAACTGTCATTTGTCATTGATGGCAAGTTTTGTGAAACACCTCCCCCCCCCCCCCAGTAAGAGCCTTCACAACACTTTCTTATCTCAGCCCTACTACCAAGACTGAGAGTAGTTCATGTCTCTAATATCGGACAACTAGCTTGAAGATGACTATCTTAGAAATTAATTATCATTGTGGGTAGTTTTATCCGGGAGGATACCAAGTTCTCCACTGAGAAATTTGTTCTGGCAAGGGGGTATTCTGTGGTAATTCTTTGTAATTATGGTCTTTTTGATGAACTCTGGAATTATGTGAACATGACGCATTACGTAATCTGATAATGATTTTTACGGGAAAACAAGAGCTTATTGAAATTGCCCTTGAGTTGATTCTTCGAAAGTCTTAGCGCTCTTGGTTACAATAACGTTTCACAATACACCAGTTTACGGTTGTATCAGTGCGCATGCGCAGACAGTTGACCTCGGGTCATTGGCCCTGAAACAAAGCCAATGACCTGAGGTCAGTGGTATTTATGCGTAAATTAAGATTGCGCCCATGCAAATGATGATGTGCGCGCACAATGCAGCGCGTAGGCAGTGATATCATCATACTTTGCATGGGCGCAATCTCAATTTACGCATAAATACATGACCTCTAGGTCATTGGCTTTGTTTAAAATGGCGCACACAACCGTAAACTGGTGTATTGAAGAGGTAAAGTCATAATGGGTACCCAGTAGGATGGGATCGTCATTGTTGGTCAAACAGTTTTTGAGCGTCATGTAACGCCTGGCTGGAATGCTCCCCAGGGAGTGGAGATCGTGCAAACAGTGCGTGCGGGCAAGCACTGAATCCAATGACCGGGGCAATAGTATATTTATAAAGCGCTTAGAGACATTTGTATTAAGCGCTATATAAAAGTTAAATATTATTATTATTATTATTATTATTATAATTTAACTTTAAACCCATTACCTGGGTCGCATGTAAGTCCAACGTCTTCTTCGTGACCACAGAAATATTCGGATATCATTGACTCGTCATAATAGTGCTCTTCGATCCGATATTGGCATTCCTCTATGCTCTGTTCGTTCCCCTCGCATCGGATAGAATCGAATACATAGTTCCCGTCTCCGGATCCGAGTTCTCCGCAACAGTGGTAGCTGATGGCTGAACCATAACCAAGCATCCGGCACAGAACGTTGGCCGTTTTGAAATTTATGGAATCATCACAGATTGCCATCCATCCGAGGTTGACTAAAAAAATCTCCACAAGGCCTTCGAATTCCGTTCTTCCACCAGTTAGGCGAATATCAAAGTGCCCCGGGCCTGTTTTACCTAACCAAGAGGGGAAAGAAACCATGAGGCGGATGAGCCATTGTTGAACAAAATTTAGAAATATAAGAAATTGAGAAGTCTAAATTATCAAATTTTATGAAAACATACATTCCCGCTTTTCGCCACTGGTTTTACACAACACTCTGTCTCATCATGCTTCTGCCTTGGTAGGCAGCAGCTCAATAGACCTTCCTACCAACAGCAAAAACACTTAAGAAAACAGAGAAGCCTACCTTATCATTATTTTTTCGCAAAACAACTACCCCCCCCCCCTTCCGCCATCCAGCCATCCGCCGAGCAATACACAACATGCTTACATGATGTGTGTGTGTTCATGTTTCTGCAATATTAGGCTGCAGCTCAACGACCCATAAGACCGAAGATACTCTAGACCGACAGTCCACGAGACCTGGGGAGTGTTTCACAAAGACTAACATTGACTTTAAGTTGGACTTAACTATGGCAGACCGTTCATGTTACTAGTTTCTCTTACCATTCCTGGCATTGGTTTCTCAAGGGACCTACAAATCATGGTCACAAATCTCCTCAATCTACATCTTTTGTATAGTTCATTATTGAAGGAAAATTGTTATTTAAAGATCATAATCGAGAGACCAGTGGTGAAAGCAACTAGTGACATGAATGGCCTGCCATAAGTCTTTGTGAAACAGTCCTCAGACATTTATATGTTTCTACGTTGAAAGTAGGTGCCGCGGATATTTGGTCTCGTGGGTACCTCCACCCCCCCCCCTGCTCTAAGGAAGACAACGGACATCTCTATCAGTATAGCACCTTTGATCTTCGTTTAGTTGTGTGTCATAATTACCTGCAGCCAACGAACATGTAACCCGGGCAAGGAACAGAAACAAGGCAACTGCCGCACCTTTCTCATACATTTCAAATAGTCTGCAATCGTTTTCCCCCAAAAATGAAATCGGAGTGTCGATGAGGTCTTCACCCGGCGAAGGGATTCAAATCGAGCTTTTTAGCATGTTCAGCTACTCTGATTTGTTTTTATAGAATACGTTCCTAATCGTTTTCGTTAACAACTGAAGAGAATGTGGCCATAGAACAGCGCAAAAGGGGCAAAGGTGAACGAATTATTGCCTTTTCCAAATTTCTACTGCAAAAGGTGTTTTTAAAGGACACATCCTGACTTTTTATACAATCTGTGTTAAACGATTTTCTCTTCAAGGTCCACTCTCCGGAACAAACTTCGACCTTGCTTCCGACATAGCGGATATGCTCCTGTTTTGTTTTTGTTATTATATGCACGGCAGGTGATTTTCATTAGTCTTATTTGAGTTTATGTAACTTCATGTCGTGAAAAAAACCCAAATGATTTTGTATCAATTTGTGAAGAATCATAACACTCTACGATGCATTCAGATAAAGTTGAAAAACAAATTACCTGAGTCCCATGTATATCTTCTGTCTGATTACGTACGCGAGCAATGAAAGATGAATCCTTAATGCCACTTTCCTGGTTATTCCCCAGAACCCACCTCTGCTTTCATTCCAATAACCGTAGGCTTATGAAGCGTCGGGGGAAGGGGAGGGGTAGTCTTGTATTGTGGGGCCCCTAGAATTTTTTCTACTAGGTGTATTCATCCCCATGATGAAATAAAGTTGGAGGAATGAATGGCTACACAACACACCAAAGTGCATACCATTGTCACAAATTGTCAGAATTTGTTTGTTTGTTTAATTATTTAAAATGGTGATTACAAAACATGCCTGCTTTCAGCTTGTCAGATGTTTTACAGCATGTCCGTATATGGTACATTAAACTACATATGAATAAACAGATAAGATACAAAATAAATCGATAACAATACATACAATTAAAATAATCTCCCTCTCTCTCCCATTCCCACCCTCACTTTCCCTCTGTATCCCCCTTCCCTTTCTTTTCCATTCCCCTCTTTCTCTCTCACTCGCACTCGTCATCTCTCGCTTTGGTCTTGCTACATGTAGACCTTCGTTGAATATTGTATTGTAAACATATTTTCATGTACGTAAAACAACATGTTTTTCTTAAAGACACTATGTCCCTTTTGCAGCCAACCTCAAATTCTGTAGAACTTTGCAGGAATTATGAATCATTATGTTATGTATGTCCTATCTGTGAAATTTAAACGTTAGCAGTGTCCGTATATTCAAATTATGCAAGGAAACCCGTTTACTTGCTAGACTTCACTGTCGTACACTATTGAGTGACTGACTGGCATTTTTTTCTTTGGTATTCATAAAAATGAGCTGTAAAGGGTACATGAGCATTTGTCTACATCAATAACCCACTTCTTGTAATGGCCAAAATTAGAGTGATTGAATCTTTGCGCAGCACAAAACGTACGACCATTCGGTACAATGGTCTGAAAATTAGACTATGACTTACTGGCTTTATAGCTCCTAAGTCGATTTGACAACTAATTATCGTTATTTTCCCACTTAAATACATTTTCAAGCTCCCTTTTTTTAGGGAAGTTTTAAATTAGTATTATCTTTCAAATGCCGTTGGAATTTAACCTTTTCATTTTTTGGCCTGCAAATTGGACATAGTACCTTTAAGTGTATTTATTTTGGTTCAATTTTGTTTACACTATTCAATTTCATTGTAAATCAACCATTATGAGTTCCTGAACTTTACGTGTTGATGTTTTTAAACCGAATGAATAACTAAATATAAAATAAAATAATTCAAGAAATATAAAGGCAAAACCTTAAAGACAAAACCTTATAGAGACTAAACCATAAGGCAGGATGTTCTTGTTTCAATATCAGGAAATATGCATCCGTCTCCCTGGGTTCATATTTATAGGTCACACAAACTTGCAGTAGCTAGCTATCTTGGTTGTTACTTGCCTAAAGAGGACAGCATTATTCATTGGAAAAAATGGAATTAGATTTTGAGATTTCTTTCAACAATTAACGCTTTCGTTTATTCATAATGTTAATAAAATATCAGAACTCGAAAACGGGCGACACAATAAAAAAATTCAGTGTTAAGATGCTTCTGCGCTATATACATATATTTAAAGTGTAAATGTTTGACTGTTTCTAGTCCAGAATCTGCCCGGTCCTTTATAATTCCCTACACACTTGATTCAAGCCGTCGAATATGGCATTATCAACAAACTCATAATTATGCTTACCAGCCCAGCTTTCGCCGGGCGTCCTAGTTTAATGATCACGCCATCATCGGCTGGTAGCAAGTAAGTAGGGAGAGGTAGCGTTTCTGTGGTGGAGATCAAAATTAAATAGGCCAGATTCTGGACTAGACTGTTTATTGAGGAAAATGAAACAAGTAATTACAATTATCATGGCACCCAAGAAATCATTTCAGTCAATGGCATCTTTTCACCATATGATTGGAGCAAGTGCCCGTGTCCCCAGATATACATATGTACTTAACACACACGCTACTAATTCACATTTTATTGGTAGAGATATTTGGTACATGAGGGTAGAGCAGAACTCCTAAAATGTCCATTTAGGGAGGCAGAGCGTGCCTTAGTAAGGGCCCTTTGTCGGGCTTTTCATATCCTGCACTACGTATGTGTCTGCATTGTTTGTTGATTGATATCTAATGGTGAATAAATCGTCTCTTTATATTAACATGTAAATTTTTTGTCTTTTTGTTAACGTGCAAATGAATGGCAGATGTTCGTAATCACTGAGCCCTTCATTATAAGATACATATATTGGTATTACTTTACGTCATCGTGAACAAAAAACCGCCTCGCTACAAGCGAGTTCGTAAATAGCTCTGGAACGCATAACCCCAAAATATCCACGGATCTTTTTACACTATGGATACGTCCCACATGTGCATTTTAGAATAATCACTGCCAAAGGGATGGAGGTGCTTCATGAAAACCTTTTGTTTGCCTCTTGAGAAGAATACTTCCACCTGTGTATCAGATAAATGTACTGTTGGTGCATAAATGAATACTGATAACATAACTTTTATAAACACGATCCGAATATTCGTCTCAATGGTTTTACAATTTGCGTACGAATGACCTTTATCTGCCCATGCGCAAATCCTAATTACGAACTCGCTTTTAAAATTGCCGCGTCATATCTGAACGAGCCTCAAGTCATTGTAATGGACAATTGCGTAGTTAGCACATGGGTCAAAAGACCCAAAATATCCACAGACCTTTTTCTCATGGAGAAGTCTCATTTTGTGTATTTTAGAATGATCGATGCCAAAGTCATGTATGTGCTTCATGAATAGCTTTTGTTTGTCCTCTTGTATCATAGAATGTATCGTAGGTGCACAAATGAATATTACATAACATAAGCACGTATTCATCTCGGTGGGTTTTAATTAAAAATAAAAAAAATCACAAATGACCTATATCTGCCCATGCGCAGATAGTATTTACGAAATAGCTTTAATATAAGGAAGTAAAGTTCCATTGTTAAAGGGATCGTTTAACAATGTTAAATCTGAGATACACGGCCCTACGTGTTATCGGTGTCTGTGATATGGTGTAATATTGAAGCCCTAAAAAAATTGCGCTTCAAAATGATCAAGAAGTGCCTCAAAAAAGTAAAAATCTTTGAGTGACCGGTTTTACCATACTCGTTTTCCCCAATAGACTGTAGTGTTATGAAAACCGTCAGGCGAACGGTTTTCAAAATTTGTAATTCCAATCATAAATATCTTGATAATCAGACAGGCGATCGGCTTGTAAAAGTCATGGGGCTCCTGACTGACCTTAAGGTTTATAATTATCATTGCATCATGAGCTAAATCCAGAATTTTATTTCAGAATCTGAGACAAAGTTACCGGATCCCTTTAAGCTCATCATGATCCCATCTGACAAATAAATTCATTATCATACCATACTATGCACAACTGATGCACACCATTCTTGGGAAAATTACTTTCTTAGTAAATGGCATGGGCACCGGGGCCTCGGGGATGTGCCCCCAATCAAAGGACGTAGACAAAAAGAAAAGAAATTAAGAGATAACAAGGGTAATAAGATGAAAGGGAACGCGAAAAAGAGGAGATACGACACTCACTCATCCTTCTAATCAATGGGCTTATCAAAATGTGCCCCCTCAGTATATACACCTAAGCTATGGCAATGTTCCTTTTTATTCAGAATGGATACTAAACAAATTGAAAGTTCGTCTTGATCTCATTCCAGCAATGATATCGACGTTCTAAATTGAACAAAAACACAAGATACATTTAGCAGGAAACTGACTCAACACTTGACAGAGGGGCTCATTTCCGTAAACAGAAATATCAATCTTTACATTATATTTCCTCATACAACGCAATCACGTACATTAACGTTTTTTGTTAACAATATATATGCGCATGCGTTGTGCCTGAAAAGAGGACAACCCTGTCCACCGAATGAGCTTACGGCTGAATGGTCAAGATTCATAAACTCGTCATCTTCATTGCTTCCATTTTCTCCAGCGGACAGAGGAGGCACCATGAAGGATTTACATTCGATAGCATGTATTTGTTTCCTGCTTTATATCTCCAGAGTCGCTAATACAACATCGCCACAATATGGTAAGTACAACATTGTGACATGTTATCTCGGAGGAGAGTCAAAACGGTTAAACGGGATGAATAGTTGCACAAAATGTTTTTAATCATTTCCTTTTCAAAGTAGTCATACAGAATTACGACATTTATCTTAACTATGCACCATATGCCTTTTGCAGCCCACCCAAGACGAATATGATGGGATTCAACCCATTTTAACCCTGTTTGGAATATATTTGAAGAGCTCGGTTCAAAAAGGTACTACGGTACATCCATACATCCAAGTTCTGAGAAGAAAAAAAAAAGAAAAAAGCTATCTTTAATCATCATAGTTAGCAATGCCGGTTTGGAATGATACTGTGGCTGATCATCCCAGAAGGAAAAACCAGTTACCACCAGTTGAAATTTCCAACTGGTTCCAGTTAACTTCAACTGGAACCAGTTAGATTCAACTGGTTCCAGTTGATTCATGATGCACATCAAGCGGATATTTGGTGCGACTGCATTTCATTTAACTGGAACCAGTCCTTATAATGACCAGTTACACCAGTTGATAACTGGTCTGTTTGCATACTTCCAGTTGCACCAGTTGATAACTGGTCTGTGCATGGCATATTTCCAGTTGCACCAGTTGATAACTGGTCTGTGGGCATATTTCCAGTTGATAACTGGTCTGTTAATTCCAACTGGCCCAGTTAGAATTTGACCAGTTGCATTCTAACTGGCCCAGTTAGAATTTGACCAGTTGAATTCTAACTGGACCAGTTCGAATTTGACCAGTTGAATTCCGACTGGACCAGTTAGAATTTGACCAGTTGAATTCTGACTGGACCAGTTAGAATTTGACCAGTTGAATTCCAACTGGACCAGTTAAAAATCTGACCAGTTGAATTCCAACTGTACCAGTTAGAATTTGACCAGTTGAATTCCAACTGGACCAGTTAGAATTCAACTGGTCAAATTCTAACTGGTCCGTGTGCATATTTTCAGTTGACACCAGCTAATTTGCATAATGGATATGGGGTGCGACTGCATTTCATTTAACTGGAACCAGTCCTTATAATGACCAGTTACACCAGTTGATAACTGGTCTGTTTGCATACTTCCAGTTGCACCAGTTGATAACTGGTCTGTGCATGGCATATTTCCAGTTGCACCAGTTGATAACTGGTCTGTGGGCATATTTCCAGTTGCACCAGTTGATAACTGGTCTGTGGGCATATTTCCAGTTGATAACTGGTCTGTTAATTCCAACTGGCCCAGTTAGAATTTGACCAGTTGCATTCTAACTGGCCCAGTTAGAATTTGACCAGTTGAATTCTAACTGGACCAGTTCGAATTTGACCAGTTGAATTCCGACTGGACCAGTTAGAATTTGACCAGTTGAATTCCGACTGGACCAGTTAGAATTTGACCAGTTGAATTCCAACTGGACCAGTTAAAAATCTGACCAGTTGAATTCCAACTGTACCAGTTAGAATTTGACCAGTTGAATTCCAACTGGACCAGTTAGAATTCAACTGGTCAAATTCTAACTGGTCCGTGTGCATATTTTCAGTTGACACCAGCTAATTTGCATAATGGATATGGGGTGCGTGCATATTTATGTTTCAATACAATTTATCTGATTTTACAGCATATTCCTTAATTACTGCTGATTTAGTTATGTGCAATTCATTTCGAAAATACTACAAATACAAATTGCCAATTATTAGGACATTTCATTACTTCGTGTAAATAACATTTAATTAAACATGAAATTGGGAAAACATTAACTATGAACTAAAATATATTCGATAAAATACAAGTATATTCAAAATATTTAGTTAACAAGTCTACCTATTACCAATGCCTTTACAAATTGGAAATTGCAGACGATCTAGTTATACTGGGTTGTTGCCTATTGGCAAAATTAATTAGTAGAAGTGCTACTTATGCCTTTAATTACTAATTACGTTTTCAATTGGTAGTTGATTGGTCCAGTTAGACCAGTTAAATCCAACTGGTAACCCTGGAAATTGAAATGGGCCAGTTGAATTCTAATTGGACCACTTAGAATCTGACCAGTTGAATTCTAACTCGTCCAGTTGGATTTGAACTGGTCGAATTCTAACTGGTCCAGTTAAAATTCAACTGGTCTGGTTCAACTGGCCCATTTCAATTTCCAGGGTTACCAGTTGGCTTTAACTGGTTTAACTGGACCAGTTGCAACTGTTTTTTTTCTTCTGGGATTGTATGATACATGTATAAAGCCTCTAAAAAATCTAAGTCTGCATTAATATTTTTCAGGAAATCATGTTTTTTAATCTTTGTGGATGTAGTACCTTTAGGAACCGAAATTGGATGTAGTACTTTTGGGAACCGAAAATCTTGCATACTGTATGCAAGTTACAATGCATAACTTAAATGGATGTTGGAACCGAACTGATTTTTAAATGCCAATTTGTTGTTGTTGTGAGAATTCAGCTTTTTCGAAGTGTCAGTGTATGAGGCTACTAATAATGTGTACTAATTCAAATTTGATAAAAAAAGATGTCCCACCTTTTGGAACCGAGCTCTTCATTTAAGAAATGATGCAGTATGCTTTAAATCGAGTTGTGTATAAAACGTTATTTCCATCTTCGGACGGAATGAAGAAGATCGCCAGTCTTTTTTGTTGTTGTTTACATCAAGATCTCGCAACACTTTTAGTCTTGCATGTAAAGCATGAGAAAGAAATCAATTGCATCTTGGGTTTAAAAATTCTCTATTATAATGCAACAAAGTACAGAACACAGTTATTCAAAATTACACTACTGATAAACAGAAACAAGAGGACATAAGGATGGGAAATTTCAAGGATGTCTTTGACAGTTTGTGAGAATAGCCAGTTTGATTTGGAATTTGAAATTATTCGGAGATTGTCGCATTTTAAGTGAGGCTATTTTGCAATTTGTATTTTTATTCAATTTTTAGCCTTTTTTATTCTTCATTTCTTGTATTAGTGTCTGGAATGTTTTTTCTTGTTCTTCAAATATTTCGGATCGTTGTAAGCCAAAATAAATCAACTTCGCATAATAACAAAATAAGAACCGTATTTTGTAAGCACTATTATGGTACTTGATGTTTTTAGCGCTCCTATGTAATCGATATAATTTTCACTATTTGAATGTTTTGCACAACTTTCCTTTTGAATACGTTCCTAATAGTTTTCGTTAACAACTGAAGAGAATGTGGCCATAGAAAAGCGCAAAAGGGGCAAAGGTAAACGAATTATTGCCTTTTCCAAATTTCTACTGCAAAAGGAAATTGATAGGTGTTTTTATAGGGCACATCATGACTTTTTATACAATCTGTGTTCTCTTCAACGTCCACTCTCCGGAACAAGCTTCGACCTTGCTTCCGACATAGCGGATACTCCTGTTTTGTTTTTGTATAAACCACCACATGATTTTGTTTCAATTTGTGAAGAATCATAACACTCTACGATGCATTCGGATAAAGTTGAAAAACAAATTACCTGAGTCCCATGTTTCAACTTTCCGGTTTGAAAATGAATAGAGATAAAAACGTTTAAATTGTTGTTGGGTCCCCTCTCTAAAGAAAATATTGTTAGCCCTTTCGGTAAATTACTGGATGTCATACAAATATTTGGTATAACCTTCTCATTAGACGTAGAGGTTCGGGAAAGGATTAATTATAAAGAAATTCTAAGTAAAATAAAAAAAGCTATTATTTTGGTGTAAACAGAGGGATTTAACTTTAATGGGTAAAATACAATTAACTAAAACGTTTGTATACTGCGAAATTAAATTATGTGTCATCACTTACGCCAGTCACACCTTGGGTTTTTGAGGAAAATGAGAAGTTAATGTTTGATTTGTTATGGAATGGGAAAGATAAAATTAAAAGAAATGTGGTGTTTTTTTTAATTATGATAAGGGAGGACTTAAAATGATAGACTTCAATTTATTTGTTTATACACAAAGAATTATGTGGATAAAAAAATACTCATACTAGGACATTCTAATATGGGATCGAGACAATTTTTAAAATATAAGACTCGTGAGATGGGAGGTCTACTGATAATCTTTTAGTAATGTTTCATTGAGCATGAGCAACGGGTCTTTGCCAAGCTTTTATAGGAATATGCTGGAAGTTTGGGCCACTATGAGAGAGGTTTTACTTTAAAAGGAAACATGTAAAAGAAAAGTAATTATTTTTAACTATAAGTTTATTCGTTTGGATGGACATATGTACTTTGATGAAAATATATTCCTTGGAAAAATATATAAATTACATCATATAGTCGATGGTGGAGGAAAAATTAGATCTGCTAGGGGTTAAATTAAATGAATCAGGAATAATTGGGCTTCAGCAGCTATTTAAAAGTATTCCATTGAGATGGAAGGGTCTTTTAAAGAAAAATGATTCGTGTAGGGACACCGATTTAACGTTAGAATTTGTGTTTAATGGAAGAGTTAATACTTTGACGTTACATCGACAGAAATATATGCGGCATTGTTGAATATGAAAATGGATAAGTCATATGCAGTTGGACGTTTGGAGAGAATATATAACTACTTCGAAAAAGACATTCATACAATATTTTAAGACCTAGGAAATAAACTTTAAATAGTAGGTTAAGGGAATTTCATTTTAAAATGTTATATGAACTTATATATACTAGGAAACATCTGTTTGCATTTAAATTTTCAATTAGTAATATATGCCCCTTTTGTGATAAAAATGAAAAGGCCTATGAGCATCTATTTTTTTACTTGTGAAAAAATAAGAGTTCTCTGGAGAGATTGTGGTGATTTATTCAATTTATTGCATATTACTAATTTAAACTGGGAGGGAATTTTTATTGGTATACAAGTTTTAAATGTAGGGAAGGAGCAGTTAATTATTAAATCAAATTATACTTTAAATTAAATACACGATTTTTGTTTAAAGCAGAACTAAAGGTAAACCCCCACTCCTCAAGAAATTAAACAAAGAATAAGGAAAAGTGAAAGAGAGGGAAGAAAATTAGCTGAAGAGCGAGGTACATTAACACACCACCTTAGGAAATGGGAAAATGTTCATACATAGAGACGGCGAGGCGAAAAAAAAAATCTATTTTCGGTTAGAAAAAAAAATGCTGGAACGGCTGCGATGCATTACTAGTATGCATACATCTTTTGGTACATGTCACTCTGCTTTTGTTTTTCAGTGTGTGCGTGTGTGTGTATATGTCAGGGACGGTGGAGCGACTTCCAAAGTGGGGGGGGGGCACCAACAAAAAGGGCTCTGGAGAACAAAAACGGCGCCTACAAATGGAATTTTCAAAGCGAAAATATATATTTTTTTTAGACGTTGGTATATACACCTACATTGTAATTACATTGTCAGGGATGATTTCAATATTTGTTTATACCTTATACATACTTTATACATCATACAAGTGCTTAAGCTTCATACATTGCGGTGGGGTGTGATGCTCTGAATACGCTTTTGCGAGCAAGCGAGGCAAGTGAGGAAAAAAAATAAGATTTGTGAGGTCGCAGCGCGAAAAATTACGTCTTAAAGAGAAGGTTGAGTTCTGGGAAGAGGTGAAAAATAATTTGTGAGCATTACTCATTCTTATTATGCAAGTGTGTAAGAACATCAGTTAAGACATGTTCCCTGAAAAGCATGGCTCTTCAAATGCTTTCATTTTCTAAATATGCATGTAACATCATAAAAATCGGGGGCCGGCTTTTTACGCCACGTGTTCGTGTAGTCCCATATACATCTTTCTGTGCAAGTGTTTGTAATTTTACCAAGACTTGGCCAAATTTCTTATCATTTTGATGATTCCAGAACCTTGCAATACACACAAATTCTTATATGCTAGATGATCAACCTTTTCTGGTCGGTTCCACATCGTTTCTTTCACAATGCAATCGCATGACCAGAACTCAACTTCATCTTTAAAGAGGAAAAACCCAAACCTAATGGGGTTATAACACATTCTCATAACGGAAGACTGAAAAGACCTTTGATAGGTAACATAATTATATCATCTATAATTGCGAGCGTAGCGAGCGACCTTTAGTGGAAATTGGTCTTAGTCGCTTTAAATTACGGGCACGTTTAATGATGAGAGAAAAAAGGGACACTTGTCGAAAGGGAAAAAGACACTTATTAGAAAAGAAAAGGAGCACGTGTCAAAATACAAAGGGTAATTATCAGAAAAAAATCATTTCAACAAATTTCTCTCAAGTATACTTTAATATTCTTGATCATAATTATATATAAAAGTGTTTTCTAAACAGTTTATAAATATGTACTTATGTTTTCTTGTTATTATTGCAACTTAAGTTTAATCCAAAATATTAATGTACAATATATCCATTTGTGTTCAGAATGATATGTGCAATATGTATTTGATTTGATAGAAAATAATAAAAAGTGTAATTATTATTATTATAATTACCATTGTTATTACTATTATTATTATTATTATTGTTTTTATTGTTTTGTATTGCTTGTAGAACCCCTGGAACTTCGGCTGACAAGTGAACACGAGGGGCGAGTGGAGGTTTCAAATGGCGGGCCATGGGGGCCGTTGTGCGATGACCGATGGACGGCCAACGATGCCAATGTTGTCTGTCGAACCCTCGGCTACACACATGCTCTATTTCCCAACGTCACCGGACACGATGTCGAGGTCAGTGGGAGCGGCGATCTCGAAATGGATGAGGTTTTCTCAGATACTGTGAGATGCGTTGGCAACGAGACGAACATCGCTTTCTGTCCCATGAATGTCAGCTTTTCCGACAGATGCGATGAAAATGACGGTGTAAACGTCAACTGTGAAGGAATAGGTATGAATTATTTTCAAACGTGGGCAAGTCCTTGCCATTTTGTCATATACGTTAACCGTCTACATGCAAGATTTTAGTATATACTAAGTCACTAATGGTCGTATTAAGTTGATTGCCCAACCCGAGTTTGGATCATAGTAATGAATACTTTTGAAGATCCCCCGAAACATATTGGACACCAAATGACCAAATACTTGAGATTGATTTTCACACTTATCATGACAGGTTACAAACCAAATTTAATAAAAGCACGTATGATCAACTATCACGATCACAGGCGAGTGGGTACAAGAGGGGGGGGGGGAGGGGCATTGGCATTACCTGCCCATTTATACTTTTTAATTCATATCAAATCGTGAATTCTTGTAGTGAGTGTGTAAATTTGTCTTCAGAGCATTGTAAAAGATAAGATTTTATAAGTGACCAGTTTTCAAATACAAGTAATTTCAGAATTCTAGAGAGAAGGAGTAATTTTTTACTTTTGTGCGCCTCTCATAATTAAGCTTCCGCTTATTTTGTATAACCTGCCCCGTCTAACCCCTCCCTTCTATTTCTTCCTCTCTCTGTATTTAACACACACACATCCCACTTTTTTCACACTCTCTTTATTTTAATTTCTCCCCCTGACCTCTCTCTCTCTTTCTCTTTAATGTCTCCTCCCTCTCTCTCTCTCTGTCTCCCGTCTTTCCTGCCTCTTCTCCGATTTGATCCTCTACAGTAAAGGTCCGCTTGGAAGATGGCACCAGTGACAGGGAGGGCAGAGTCGAAGTGTTCCATCGAGGCTCATGGGGTACTGTCTGCGATAATAACTTCGGCTTACACGAGGCCAACGTCGTTTGCCGAATGCTGGAGTTTGGCTTCGCTGATCGCTACTACGCCGGGGGACTCTTCGGAGCGGGCACCAGTGAGATCCTCGTGGATGATCTTCAATGTATGGGGGATGAATTGAACATTGGCCAATGTTCCCCGAAATATACTGGGACCCATAATTGCACGCACGAAAGCGATGTTGGCATCAGCTGTGTAGCACGTAAGTAGTACTTCATATCTTTTCATTAAAATCCAAAATCTAGATTTTGTGAATCATAAGCGCGGTCGAAACATAGTATTGCATCCTGATATTCCTAATTTCTTGATAAGAATGACAACTGTGACTATGCTAAACACGATCTCAAAGACTTTCAAGAAATCGACTTAAAGGCAGTGTCCATACCCTTTTGTATTGTCTATATAAATCATTTCTGGATCAATTAATTTGCTATTGTCAAAATCACACAGTTTAGTGACAGGGACCAGGGGTATAAATAATTACACCGAAGCGCATTGAAGTATGCCCGTTATGCGATATATAAACGCAGAATATTCCTACAATTGTCGTTGTATTTTTAGTTGATATCATTATTGGCATTATAATTATTATTATTATTATTATTATTATTATCATAATTGTTAGTTTTATTATTATCATTGTTCTTATCATCATCATCATCATCATTATCATATAGTTCCTGTACGCCTTGTCGAAGGGGGATCACCAAACAAAGGTCGCGTCGAGGTGCACTTCGAGGGGTCATGGGGAACGATTTGCGATGATGATTGGAACATGAAAAGTGGCAATGTCGTCTGCCGAATGCTTGGCTATCCTGGAGTCCTCAAAGCTTACGGGGTAGCGTATTACGGGGAAGGAATCGGGCAGATCATCCTCGACCGGTTTGAATGCAACGGAGGGGAAAGTCATATCGCGCGCTGCGGACAAGACATATATGGGAAACATAATTGCGGGCACCATGAAGATTCCGGTGTAGATTGCTCGGGAGAAGGTAAAAAATTAATTGAATAAAAAATAGTCATAAAAGTAATCACATTAAAACTTACTCGCAAAATATTTCAAAGTGCATTTGTTTGTTGGTGCATTGTTAAATTGATTATTCAACAGTAAAGGAACAGAGATAACTCATATTTGGACAGCATTGGCTGCAGAAAATGCTTGACTTGACGAGATTCATGGTCCATGCAGGAAGGGATCACTTGATAGAATCAGGAAATAGTAAGAAATAATATGTTGAAATTACAAACTATAATCATCTGAACATTTGACTTTATCAAACCCTTTTGGCTCACGGGTATAGATGAGGCTGTCTTTGGTAATCTGGTATCGCACGATATTGATTTAATTGATGATGAGCATGAGTCTAATTTTCAGATTTTAAAATCAAATCCATATCTCATTTACCTTGTAAGATCGTCCCATACCTTATTTCAATTACACCTTTAAAAATGACTACGAATTGTAGGTAATGTTAGAAGAGGAAACAGTATAGAAGCGTTTTTAAAGGTTTTAATGCTGTCACCCCTTCCCACTACTCCAGCAACATCGAACATCCGACTCCGCGATGGCCCAGACCCAAGCCAGGGTCGTCTAGAACTGTACCTTATGGGGGCATGGGGCACCGCTTGTCTGAGAAACTGGACATCAATCGACTCTTCTGTAGTATGTCGCAAGCTTGGCTACCTCGGCGCTGCGGATACCCTATCGGGGCCAACCTCGTACGGGAAAGGAACGGGGCTGGTGTTGGTACAGGAGCCCCGCTGCGAGGGCAAGGAATCAGATCTTCTGCAGTGTGACATTGCCTATCCTTTAGGAGTCACCAACTGCACGCATGACGAAGACGTATGGGTGAACTGTCTGCAGAAAGGTATTACTCACCACTCAAAATGCTATACGATGCAGGACGAATTTCAAAGTCGAAGAATTGATATGCTGGCAAAAGGCGTCAGCCATCTTTGCGGAAATGTTCCAGTACGCCTAAAAAAATGCTTTGAAAACTGAAAGTTGAAGATTGTATCATGATCGCAAAGATTTTCAAAAAATCAACGCAGGCACGTTAAAGTGGAAGTTATGTAATATGTAACTCTACTGTTCGACCCTTTCAAAAGGTGACGCTCAAGGCTTTTGAAAGTGCTCTATGTTGATTTTCAAAAAAAATATTTGCGATTGTGATTGTGATTTACAAATCATACAATTAAATGAGTTTACCGATACAGAATTCAAGGTAGTCGTATGAATAAGGTACATGAGGTGCAATAAAGTCAAGTAGTCTGTATTGTCAATTATTTTGTAATCTGTCCTGTATAACTATCTCTATTGCACCTATTCCTTTAGCTCCCGGCTGTAATTCCCTCTTCCGCTCTTTGTCTCTTTCAACGTCTCTCTATCCCTCTTTCTATCTACCACTCTCTCTCTCTCTCTTTCGCTCTCTCTTTCTCCGCGTCTCTTATACCTCAGGTACACCGTCAAACCGAGATCAAATCGACCCAAGATGGACCAATTCTTGGAGATACAGAGTAATGTCAGTTTAGTTCCGTTTGTTGTCGGTCTGATGTTTGTCTCGTTGATGTGACTGGAGACTCACCCCTTCCCTTCTTCTCTACCCTCTTTTAAAAATCATAGAAAATCTTGAAGTGCGTCTTGTCGGTGGACAGTCTTCTAATAAGGGGCGAGTTGAGGTACTACACCGGGGGAGATGGGGAACCATCTGCGATGACAACTGGAACATCCTGGACTCCCACGTCGTGTGCAGGATGATGGGCTTCGACGTCGCAGAGGACTACGGACATTTCGGCGAGGGATCCGGAGTCATTCTCCTCGATGAGGTGCAGTGCAACGGAGCAGAAGAGAACCTTGGACACTGCATGCGGGAAGACTATGGGGTCCATGACTGCGACCATTCGGAGGACGTGGGAGTATCCTGCATAAGCTACGGTTAGTTTCTGAAATGCAAATAACGAATTGGTAAAATACCCTGGATGTTATTCCCCGACCCCCCCCCCCCAAACAAAAAAAAAATAAATAAAATAAATAAATAAATAAATAAATAAATAAATAAATAAAAATAAATAAATAAATTTAAAAAAAAAATTATAATAATAATAATTAATAAAAAAAAAAAAATAATAATAAATACAAATAAAAATAAACAAATACATTTAAAAATAATAATAATAATAACTAGACTTTAATTCGTCACTTTGACGAAGTAGGTGATACGTGCTATTTTGTTATCATGAAAGTGTGCCGATGATGATCTAATGATAATGATCATAAATACGATAAAGACCATGATTAAGAGTGGTATAGCTCCCCCTTCAGGTATTTGATAGAGATTTGTAGAATCAGGATTTCAGAAAAAGTCGCCTAACACGCAAACTAAGACAATTTTGACATGTCGCCTTGAATTGAATTGTTCGTTATGATGATGTCATCAAAATGATAAATGAAGTCCGTCATTCTTGTAGACAATTTTCTTAGCTACACCGTATCAACATTTTGGAGAACATAGAGCACAAATAAGCTAGATAGTGCTCATAGATGAATGCCATGTAGATTCATGATGTGAACGAAATTCACCTTACATAGGCATAACACGCAAATTGAGAAAATTCTGACATGTGGCCTTTAATTGAATTTTGTACTATGATGACATCAATGAAATAAAAAGCAGTGTGTATTTATCTTGTAAGCAATTGCCTCAGCTACAAGATACCGCAATTTGGAAGAAAATCAGTCAATATTATGAGAAATACACTAAATTGTCCATAAATATAATGACGTCATAATATGCAATTTTGTATTTTGACTTCCAAGGCCATTATGATGACGTCAAGATGCATTTAATGGCCAAATGAGATATGAAATCATATCTCCAAATCGTACTCTATCTAAATATGAAACAAATTTGGCAGTCCTTATTCATCGCAATGGAATTTTGATAGGCATGTTTTTGCCCATATATGCTATGTAATACATGAGCTCGCGCGCACGGATATTTATCTTGAACGGACGCTCATTCCGTTATTAATAGTGATAAAGAGATAATCATGGTATCAAAATGCTTGGAAAAATTTGCCAAACATGATGACAGAGAAAATTTGGCGATTATATGTTGCGAAATGCCAGAACGCGCAAAAAACGCGCGCGCATGCGCGTTTGAGTGATTTTTTGTCAAATGCTCAATATGGCTTGAAACGTATGCAAAAAAATTTAAGAATGATTTGGAGCATTTTAAATTTTTGCGCGCACGTAAACGCGCGCACGAACGCGTACGCGCGGATTTGCGCACGTTTCTTTATCTGAAATTGACCGGAAGGATATTGATCTTATTCATGATAAATATGAATGAAAAATTACTTTCTGTTATGAAGATATGATCATAAATTGATTTTTACAAAATGGCGCCTGGATGACGTCACGATAATTTTGTGTCTTTGAAAAGTCATGCAGTTTTAAGTTAGACAAAGATCTATCATCATTGAAAGTTTGATGACAATGGCTTTTGCCATTCTTGAGATATCCTGCGAACAAAATTGAGGAAGAATAATAACAATTTCCTCTATACAGACACAAAATAAATACTAGACTTTAATTCGTCACTTAGACGAATTAGGTGATACGTATGATAATGGTTTACATAACGAATAATGTATTACACGATACATTATTTTATAAAATGCTCCTCCCATTTATATGCTTCTCCCATTATGATCTATCAATATGTCAAGATTAAATTGTGTCTCCTTTATTATTATGGATCTAGGGAAGAAAGATTGAAACAATATATGACCTTTGACCCTGTGCAGTAACCAGTTACACATTTGACTCTAATTTACATCATGAACAACACCTTTTGACGATTTTATCTTAGTAAAAAAAATGGATTAATGGATTAAGTGAAAATAGGGTAATAATAAAGTAAAAAGGGTTGTTTATGACATTATTTGCGATTCTACGTGTTTAAATAATCAAAGGAGATGGTACAGTGAAAAGTCAAAAAGGAAAAAAAGTGAAGAAAAATTTGTTGGAGACACCCAGACTCGAACTAGGGATCTCGAGGTTGGAAGTCAAGTGCGTTACTGATATACCAAAACATCTCCCATAGCGATTACACGTAAACGGGAAATGGAATTCTAAAGTCCTACTTTGCAAGTGAAATATGAGCATGATCCCGGCATATGATCGAAAAATAAAGTGCACACTGGAGATAGCTTATTGTCTCAGCTACAATATACCTGAAGCTCAGCAAAGAAAAAGCTAAAACAACGGAGATATTGCTCGCGAAAGAGGGAAATGTAGAATCCAGTTTTGAGAAATAGTCATGTCCCATAGACAATACACGCAAAATGTGAAAAATTGACATGCCTCCTTTAATCGCAAAAATAAGACAGGATACCTTTGTCAAACTGGAAAATTGTGGCACTGCATTTGTAGAAAATTATCTCAGCTAGAACATATCAAAATTTGAAAGAAAAACAATCAATATTTACAGAGATACAATCAATTTTCCAAAAATATGCAAACGTCATAATATGCAAATTGAAATGTTGAGTTTGGAGGCCATTATGATGACGTCATTAGTTAATTGAGGGGTCAAATGAGACATGAAATCATATCTCCAACTCATAATCTATCTAAATGTGAAAAAATATTGGGAGTTCATGCCTATTCTGAAGAGTTACAAAGAATTTTGTATAGGCATGTTTTGCTCATATATTGTGGATAAAGATAACGCAGGTCCGCGCGCGCTGTCAACTTTGACGGACGCTCATTGTGTTATTAAAAGGTTAACAAGTTATCAAAATGCTTGGAAAAATGTGCCAAATATGATGATAGAGAAAATTCGGCGATTTTATGTTGCAAAATGGTAGTACACTCAAAAACGCGCGCACATGCGCGTGAGCATAATTTTTTTTTAAATGCTCCATATGGCCTGAAACGTATGCAAAAAAAATTTGTGATGATTTAGAGCATTTTAAATTTTTGCGCGCGCGTAAACGCGCGGACTAACGCGCACGCGCGCATTTGCGCACGTTTTTTTACCTGAAATTGACCGGACGGATATTGATCTTAATCGTAATAATTTTGAATGAGAAATACTTTTCCGTTATGAAGATATGATCATAAGTTGATTTTCACAAAATGGCGCCTGGATGACGTCACGATGACTTTGAGTTTTGAAAAGTCACGCAGTTCTAAGTTAGGCTAAGATCTATCATCGTGGCAAGTTTCATGATAATGGCTTTAGCCATTCTTGAGATATCCTGCGAACAAAAGTGAGGAAGAATAATAAAAATTTCTTCTATACAGACACAAAATAAATACTAGACTTTAATTCGTCACTTTGACGAATTAGGTGATAATAATAATAATAATATTGGCATTTATATAGCGCTCTTACAGACATACATGTGTATCACAGCGCTTTACAACATATTATTATTACCCCGGTCATCGGATTCAGGCTTACCCGCACACAAGGTATGCACATTCTCCACTCCCTGGGGAGCATTCCAGCCAGTCGCCATTTTACAAGCGCCACATGCTAATCAAACCACATTAGCTTTCGCATCCTACCGGGTACCCATTTTAACACCTGGGTGGAGAGTGGCAAATGTAGATCAATGTCTTGCCAAAGGACATTAGTGCCGCGGCGGGACTTGAACCGCGGACCTTGTGATCCACAGTCCGGTGACTTATCCACTCGACCACGACACCTCTATACGTGATACGTATGCTAATGGTTTACATAATAAAGAATGCATTACACGATATCATATTATTTCATGAAATGCTTCATCCATTAAGATCTATCCATATGTCAAGTTTAAATTGTGTCCCCTTGATCATTATGGATCTAGGGAAGATAGATTGAAAAAATATGACCATTGACCCTGCGCAGTAACCAGTTACACCTTTGACTCTAATTTACATCATGAAGATAACATTTTGACGATTTTATCTTATTCAAAGAAATGAAAATGTAATTGATAAATGATTATCATCATTATGATAATGATGATCATGATGATCATGATGAAGATCATAATCATGAGCGGGATCCTGACATCTTATTGACAAAATGAGGGGTGATTTAGATAGCACATAGTCTTAGCTACAGCATACTCAAAAATCAACAAAATCCAAGCAGAAATAACGGCGATATTGCTTGCAAAAGACAGGAATGTAGAATCCAGATTTGAGAAAAAATTATCTCCCACAGGGATTACACGCAAAAAGTAATGGATTAAGTGAAAATAGGGAAACAATAAAGTAAATAGGGTTGTTTATTACATTATTTGCGATTCTACGTGTTCGAATAATTAAAGGAGATGGTACAGTGAAAGGTCAACAAGAAAAAAAAAGTTCAGAATTTTTTTTTGGGAGACACCCGGACTCGAACCCGGGATCTCAAGGTCGAAAGTCAAGTGCGTTACCGATATACCAAAACATTTCCCATAGCGATTACACGTAAACGAAAATGGAATTCTAAAATCCCACTTTGCAAGTAAAATATGAGCATGATCCCGGCATACGATCGAAAAATTAAGTACACATTGGAGATAGCTCATTGTCTCAGCTACAACATACTCGAAGCTCACCGAAAAAAAAGTCAAAACAACGGAGATGTTGCTCGCGAAAGACGGAAATGTAGAATGCAGTTTTGAGAAATAGTCATGTCCCATAGACAATACACGCAAAATGTGAAAAATTGACATGCCTCCTTTAATTGCAAAAATACGCCATGATACCTTTGTCAAACAGGAAAAATGTGTACACTATATTTGTAGGAAATTATCTCAGCTACAACATATCAAAATTTTGAAGAAAATCAATCAATATTTACAGAGATACAATCAATTTTCCAAAAATATGCAAACGTCATAATATGCAAATTTAAATTTTGAGTTCGGAGGCCATTATGATGACAT